CCACCAAGGCAAGAGGCCACTGCACCAGTGCTGCTAAGGCCTGTCTTCAACAGCTCGCCTCTCTAGCACAAGAACAGATTTTATGCGTCTTTACAAGGTAGTCACTGCAGTCTCTGCAGTGTTCTCTCTGAACATGTTTCTGCACCACCCTAACAGCGGCAGGGGCACCCATTTGCCTGGGGACATACAGGAGCAGCTATTAGTATAAGTATTTTTATAAAACTGATAGTGGCACTGATCTTATTCTGCTGCATTTTGCTTCCATATCACATGGGGTGCTGTAGGTAGACAGCTGGAACTTCTGTACGTGTGTTGCATGCAAAAGCAGTTGCATGAATGCTCCCTTTCAGTAATCTGACTGAATTCAGTGACTCACAGACAAAACAGAGAAGCCTGCAAATTTTCTTTTGTTCAGAGACTATGCCTTCTCTGAGCCACATTACACACAAAATGTATGTGGGGTAACCCAAAGTGAAGAGTGAGCATAAACCAGCTGCCTTTTTGTGAAGCTGTGTAAAAACTCTGCATCATCACCACAGCCACCACACCTGACAGGATTTATGTAGTACAGCAATTAAGATGAAGGAAAAAAGTACAGGGATGACAGATTTTCTTGTCAGAGAACTCTGAATTTAGCATTATTCACATTCTCTCAGTATTATTCTGGGATAAAGAGATAGAAGCTTCTTATGCTTATCAAACTCTGCTGTTTCTTAGTACTATGTTTGGGCTAGTGTTTGCACGTTGGTTAGACACTCTTGTGCCCCAGGACAACACAGCAGAACATAGGATACTTGCCATGCAGAAATAGCTGCCTGCCACACAATCCTGTTTTTCCATCAACATTTTGCAAGAAAACTTGCCACACTGGAGTTCAACACTGACACGAGACTGAGGTTTACTTTTCTACAATTTGTTTTGCCACATGTTGTTTCTGTGTACTTTTACAGCTTCAGCAAATAAAGCAACTAGACTGCGCATCAGTATACTGGGAGACACACACTACCCAGTTTACTCCAGATCACACTAATAAGGCACCTGATTCAGCACCCATGCAGAGTTCCCTGAGGTTTTCACTTCTGCCTTATCAGCACCACAAAGCAGCTACTGATTTTGCTCAGCTTTTCATTCCTGTCAAAAAATGCAGGATGACGGTGTGTAGGCTTTTACAAATGGATTATGAACCTGAAGAAAAATGCTACTGCTTACTTGTGTGATTCCAGAATTTTCCAGCACACAATCTCTCAGCAATTGCTGTATGCTGCCTTAAAAAGCCACAAGGAACATAACATCAGATCTTGAAAGGAAATGGTCAGGACTGACTGCCACAAAAGAGCATATGCAAAAATCAACAAACTGGAAAGCTGTACAATGAAACAAACCCACACATCATATAACTTTATGTGACTATTAATGAGACTTGATATCCACACTGTGATTAAGGAGAAGACTGGCCTTTGTTTCAAGGCTTCTAACATTTTCACATACTACTATTTTATTCATAAATGTCTGCAGGGTCCTACTGTATGCTATGCAATCTGCTGCAGGAAAACATGGCTTTTGTTCTATCTTGCTTTTCGTATTGCCAAAACTTGTGTTCTTTTCTGTACATTTAAAGATCAGAACAAAGGTAACATTTACCAAAATAATGGAGGGATTGGATTGTTGGCTGGTTTTCAATTAGTTACAGATTGTTTCCTTTGTTTTAATCTCCAGCCAAAATATAAAGAAACAGAAATTACAATGAAGAATTCAGTCAGGAAGAAAGAACAAACGAAGACCCCCACCCTCTAATCCACCCATCTGGCTTTGTAACATGCTGCATTGTGTTATGCAGGACAGTATTCTGAATAAGTTTATTGATTTACTCTTGTCTTCAAACAGAATTACAGTCTTAAAGAAATAAGTGGATGAGCAGGCTTCCCTTTAATTTCTCAAATATTTACAAACAAATCTGTCTATACGCAGGAGAAATAAGCAGGGCATATAAGAGTTCACCATTTTTAGGTGAAAACCAGACCTTTTAGTATTAGAGGTACTTGCATCTTTCACACTACAACTGCCTGCAGACATTATTCTTTTCTGGCTATCATTATTAGAGCTTTCTCTTGCAGTCAGCACAAAGGAACGTCTAAAAGAAGAGGTTAGCACAAGTGTTGTCAAATACTGCCCAGATAACAAACTAAGAAGCAAAGGGTGTTTGCCTACTTCCCACCTTAAAATGAAACATTTTGGAAACAGTTTTAAAACCTCAATAACTACCCTCACTTTAGAAGCCTTAATGAAAAAGATTTCTCTCATAACATGTCTAATTGAAAGAGTATTCCCATGGTGAAGTAGGGTAAGATGAGTATTGCATGAATTGGCAATAGCTCAGATTTGAGTCACCTCTCAGAGATGTAATTTCATTGATTTCAACTGAATTACTTATGATTTGTGCTATAGTAAGAAAGAAAAAAGAGGGAAAGGAAGAGCTTTCATCTTGATTTTGTACCAGAGAAGTCAATAGCAGTTACTCTGTTGACTGCAGTGAGTGCCAGATTCAACTCAGAGCCTGAGGAACACAATTTTACAAAATCTAGTAAATTCTATTGCAGCTCCCTGGAGTGAAGACCTAGATGGACAGGTTCTGCTTTCCTCTTTTTCTTTTTTTTTCTTTTTTTTTTTTTTTTTTTTTTGCTGTCCACTATTTGACCTGAGAACATTAATATCAAAGGGCAACTCTTAAAAAGCCAAAAAATTATCTCAGAAATGTCTCTGTCTCTTCCACTGTGCACAGCAGAGTGAAAGTGCTCATGTGTTTCCTTCAGCAAACAGGCAGTATAAGGTGGAACTTGATACTGCAAACATCACATGCTAGCTTCGCTTTAATCACCCAGTAGGAGAATAATTTCATGAGTGAGAGGAACTTGACTAAGTACCAGTAATGAATCCTGTAATCCATGCAGTGAAAAGAGTGAGAAGCAGAGACTTCAGGTAACAGTGCCAGAAACAGTCATTATGGTTGCTCTCAAGAGTTTGCTCCCTAACTGGAACTTGTGCCTGCTCTTTATGTGGCTGCTTTCTATGAAAATGTTAAATCTTGCACTATTTACATGTAGGAATATCAATTTGTTTTCTAAAAAACAGAGGAAAAAGCAGCATTTAATTAATCATAAAACAAATTGATTAACTCAGCCCAGTGTGTTTTCTGGATTCTTAACAATTTACTACAGCTAACGGTCCTTGCTTTCGCCTCACATCATTAATTTTCAAAGTTATCATTAATCTCCAAGAAAAAGATTGAACTTTGATCATTATTGCTTAATTACATGGAAAAATAGACAGATTGTTAATATTAAATTGCTTTACAACAGGCCAACTAAGTTATCTTCAATTCTCAGCGCATTCTACAGCTGTCTTTTCATGTCAGGTAATAATTAATAAAATTATTAATTTAAACAAAGATTTTTATTTCTACTAGTGAGATAGAAAAATCTTTATTTGATCTTATGAACACTCATATTTTACTATCCAACTCCTATTGTATTTTGTTTACCATATGTGAGCCCCCAAGGTAAAGCAATTGCAAGCTTTACCTTGACATTTCTATGTAAATTGCTTGAAGTTATGCATGGAAAAGTCATACGACAGGTTCTGTCTTTCAGAGAAATGGGAGAATGTACTTCTAAAGTCTAGAAGGACAAATTTAAGATCAAAGTCATGAGAAGAAAGGTGGACTTAAATATGTAAAGTCAGAGAAGTCTGACTTCTCAAAGAAGTAGGGAACTTTTTATTCCTTGCCACATTTATTTGGTAATCTCAGCTACCCCCTTAGACTTAAGCTTTCAACAAGCCTTCAGTGGAAAGCTTGGTGAAAGCATCTTATTTTTCTAATCAGAGAAAAAAAAAAAAATTCCTGACTCTTCACAACTAGTCATTGAAACACTGAGGGGTAAACAACTTCTGAATGAAGAGAAGAAAAAGGCAGTTTTGGCATATACTTGACAGCCAAAGCACATCAAATTTCTTTTGGGTGTAGTGCCTGCACAAGGTCTTCTTTTGCTCCTTTATCACCTTGAGTAGTGAAGAAGAGAGGCTTAGATAATTCAAAATCTAGCTATATTTAAACAGTTCTCCTGTCTAAGTGCATGAAGGGCTAAAGGAAGGCGGAAATAGAACATCTTCAGCTGCAACTTTAATTCAGGTGGGTTTCTTCTACAGTGTTAGTAGAAAGGCTCCCATTAAAGACAGGCACGGACTCTCATATAAGGGAAGGAAAGGAGGAGAGCATTAAAACACAGCTCCCCTCCCCCAAGAGTCTGAATTATTTTTCACAAAATTCATACTTTTCCACCCCTGGTGTTGTACATATAATCTGAAGAATCAGAAATGTGGACTGAAAATGATTCTGGGTACTCCATCACTGATGCAGGATCAAGTTGACATCAGCAGATGCTCATCTGACATGCTCCTAAAAACCCCTAAGGGTTCATACAACTTCTGCAGACACCTTTCACCCTTTCAAATCTACTATTAAAATTAGGGCATTTTGCCTGTTTTATAACTGAAACAAATTAAATAGCATCAACAGCTCAATGCATTGTTCCTTAGCCTAGCAGTGACAGAAATTATTCCATTTCCAGCAACTGCTTACATATCATTAAACATAACCCCTGCCCCCTTTGCCAGTCCTCTTTAGCAGAAACAAACCCCATTCCTTCTGCTTTCCTTCATAGGTCATGTTCACTAAACTCCTTATTTCCCAGCTGTCATTACATTTGCACCCTCTTTCAATATGTCAAGATCAATTTGTCAGCCCTAGTGAAGCAAGAATGTCCTACTGAAGCATGAACACGCTGACCAACAGATAGTTTCTTTGGCCACTGATCTTTTAAGAGAAGCAACAGAACAACATTTTCCCCAAAGCCAGGAAGTGTTTATATCCGAGTGGCTGACCCCACAATTCTTTTCAACATATAATAATACATTATTAGTTTATTATATGTTAATTTTTGTTTTCAAAATAAGATAGAATGTGGAAGACTACTAATGAAAGCTTTGCAGTGGAAGATGACAAACAAAGTATAACTAGAGATGATTCCCCCTTTAATGAAAACATTCCTCTTATTTTTTTGAGGTTTCTTTCTTGAAATGGAGAGAAAATGTTCTTTCCTGTTACTACTTTCTGTTGTCATCTCATGCACACTTTCCTGCCCCTCATTATCCAAAAGCACATTCCCTTATTATTCTGCTTTAATTTCCTTCAGAGGATAAAAGATGACAATAGTTTGTGTCCATCTAGCAAACAGAGAACAAATACTATGTCAATCCAGAACTCAGCCAATTTAATTCAGCTCAGGAGCATGGAAGATTTGAAGTGAACAATTTTTGTGACACGAAGAGTAATGAAAAGTCGACAGCACGAAATGGATTTCTTTTACTATTACAACCAAGTCTGACAAGTTTTGGGGTCAAATCCCCTGATCTAGATGACTTTTACAGGCAAAACCCTAAATCCTTGTCACTGAGAAAGAAAGGGTATATCTCATCTTCAAACAAGCTCTTTAGCAGAAACAACCAACATGATGGTCAGGAATTCCTTGGCAATATCTCTAAGCCCAACCCCTCCCACTGGCTTTCACTGTATAATTTTTAAGTTGTTAATGTATTGCAATAGAATTCAAGATATAAATGCTTACACAACATCACATATTACTATATACCACATATGGCAAGGAAACAATTCATTAGGTGATAGTATATAAAGCAAAGGGCCCCAAGGGAAACCCAAAAGCACAGTGAGATCATATTGATAGACCGACATTTCAGGAGGAAGAGTGGGAAATCTCCCCTCTCTCCTTCAAGCTTACTTTTTCATTATACCAATATAGCCAGCACTAAAACAACTTTTATCCCAAGGACAAAAAATTATATCAGATTCACACGTCCACTTATGAGCAGATTTGTAATTAATAATTTTCCCCCATATCTCCAGTGCTGGATGGTCCTTTCTTTTCTTCCTTTATCACATTGTCTTGACCCTCCCAATTCTGTGTGTGACCACAAAATACTGACTTTTTCACAAGCATCTTTTTTACGATGACAAGTGTGACCCTATGTACCATATTTCTACTGCCTGAAATGCCTTCCTTGTTTTTCTCTCTTTTTTTTCTCTCTCTCTCATGCTCTCCCTCTCTTTTTTAATCTCAGTTGAACAAATCTCTTTTGCCTTTTACTTCTAGTGACTAAGAGCCAAAGCAGAAAGGGATTAATTCACCATAGGATGCCTTTAACTCTGTGAAGCACTGGGGGTTGAGTCAGTGCCTGAGAAAGCTGACAGGTATTGAAGCTCTGGTACTGCAAACAGGCATGTGATTATATCTTTGCACAGAATTAAATAGATATTTGAGCACTGAAAAGATTAGGGAGTTCAGCTATCTCACCCTGGGGAGAAGGGGGAATAACTACAAGTGCAAAGTACAAAAATCCAACATGGCAATACAGCATGACTTACTTAGAAATATTTTTTTGGCATATCCACATTGCTAACCAAAAAGCATTAAAACAAGGAAAAGTTACAGGACACCTTGAGGCCAAGAATAACTTAGTACCATACTACTCCATCACCCAGTTTGTTCATGCTTTTTGTTTGAGATTTGGTTTTTTTAGTTTGTTTGTTTGGGCTTTTTTATGTGTGTGTTTACTCAGATCACCTCCTAGGTGTTCAAGGTGCTTACATCAATGCCATTGATAGTAGAGTCTGCATGCCATAGTCCATAAGGATTAGCTGATTTAATTTCCAAAACTCAACACTCTTCTAAAGAAGCTATTTATCAGTTCTTAGGACTGCTAAATTTAAATGGCAGAATTTGCTCTCAAATGATTCTAAAATAACCAGTTCTTTCTCCCTGTTAAAAACACTCACTTCTAATGACTATGTTTTGACTATTTGCAGTCAGAGACTGTGAATACAGTTTAAAAGACAAAGTGGAGAGTCAGATGGAGGTAAGATGACTCAGCTTCAAACTCACTTCTGTTACAAAAACCTTGATGATGCTTATAGGCAGGAACTCCACTGCCAGGGACTTACAGCCCTTTGCTGAATCTCTGCTACCCATTCCTCCACTCTGCTATTTGCTCCATTAGCCTGCTACCCTCTGTTAGCCCTGAGCCCTCAGCTGACAGAGGGAGACATGGTTTCCAGTACAGGTCTCACCAAAAGTGCACAGCTACAGAACGAGAGATGGCATGCTGGGAAGGGGGAGACACGTCACAATTTAAACCCCAAAGTATACCCCTGAATTTTACAAACTAGTTTCAAGTGTTATATGCACATTTTAAAAGCCACAGCAGACTTGTACATTGCTGTCTGCCCATTTATCCCTGTTACAAATATATTTCACTGCAGTATTTGTTTCATGCTGCCACTAAGAACATGCGTCAGCTTTCTTGCTGCTTTTCTGTCTCAAGTACAAGGGCAGAGCTAACTCCCTCCATTAGGTCAACACGGCATGACTGTCCCCAGGCTCCTCAAGCCCCTGTCCCTTCACAAGTCTCTAATTATGTACAAATCCTGGCGTAATTCTCCTTTACTCTATGCTCAGCAATAGCAGTAAATTATTATTCTTCTTCAGCAACAGTTGCCTAGAAAAGACTAAATCTCTTTAATTTTTTTTTTTTTTTTTTTTTTTTTTACCTGGAATAAAGCAGCTATGCGGTAAAAATAACAAGCACAAGCACTCCCCCTTGCTAAAAGGAATCTGAAAAGACCTCAAGTGGAGAAGTAACACCTATGTTTGCAGAGGCAGTTGCAGGGGACAACAACCAGAAAACCCTCTTGTTTCAGTGATGCCAGTCCTCAGCAACTGCTTCACTCCTTAAAGACCACTGGAAAAAAATGGGGGGAAAAAACATCCCCAGAGCCCAATTTTTCATCCAGTTTATTCTGTCATTTACTTGCTAAATTAGTCCCTTTTTCTTGATCCTTTCAGGGTAGCTATGTGAAGTACAAGAACTTAACATTTATTCAGGTGTTGCACAAACAGCCAAATAGCTACACGTTTTGCAGACTTCAAACCCAACAAGCAGTAAAACCACAGTAGCAAAAATCAAGCCTTTTTTTCCCTGTTTTTCTTCCGCTAGAATGGTACTTCATACTACCCTAGACATCCTCAGGGAAGATCTTTCTTTTCCTTCTGGATCCTTGCCAGAATGCAGGCAATATAGCAGAAAGTAAGAGCACAAAGCAAAAGCACTTGTGATAGTAGTTAGCAGAAAAAAGTTAGGGTTTTTGACACTATGCTCTAATCTTTCCTGAAGAGCAGCAGGGCCGTATAAACCACATGTGGCACCAGTGAGGTCAGTCTGCACGGACACAATGCTATGCTCACAGTGTTATCACAGCACAACCCAGACCACCACAGTTGTAAAGTCAGCCCATCCCAGGCACAGCTTAGAGTAACGCCACATTCACCCACCTGGAGTTTCCTTCCTCTATTTACTTGCCCTATTTTGTACATCTTGCACAACTCCTTTAGACAAAGCTAACTATAGCTGTAAGTAATCGAATTCTTTAGCTTCCCCTTCCAGTGAAAAATCTGTGGTGAACATGGAACTAAGAAAATAACAGCACCTGCAAAAAAGCATTTTGACATTTTGGAGAGAATTCTTTTCATGGGGCTGGCTACAGAGTAGATCAAAAGTGTATGCTTAGTTTTTATCCCAACAACATAAAACCCATTATACTAAATCATTACCCATGGAAAGATTTCAATATATATGAAACTGTCAAAAATGTCCATTATCCACATAAAGGGTACTATGTTACGTACCAAAAAAAAAAAAAGTAATATAAAACCTAATGACAAATGGAAAAGATAAATGAACATCTACTACAGAGGCTGGACAATTCCTAAATGGCAAAGGGTCAGAAAAAAATTCTCAGGTTATATTGTAAAGTATTTCTATTATCTTTGTGACTGAGTAGAGCATAAGGAGCGCAATCAATAAATGTCCATGTATGGTTTATTGTTTGGCTCACTACAGCCTATTTCAATTTTCACTGACATGTTGAAGAAAAAACAAACCAACCAAAACCCCCAAAAAGCAGGCCTGCCAACTATACAGAAAGAGACTACTAAACACACTATTCTATACTTTGACTTTAAAAACCCCTCTGAGTTGTACACGCACAGAAGCACCACTACTTTCCTTCACAAGCTAATAAAGAAACCTCAAGGAAACATAAACCATATGCTAAAATAAGTGCATGCTGGGATAGTAGTTGTGACTTTATATTTCTTTTTAGAATTGCTTTAAAATATTCATGTCAGATAATCTTAAAACATCCTGAGTTTTAAAGAAGTTGAAAGGAAAAGCAACTGATCCTGGAGAATAAATTCCCCATTTCCAAGTATAAGCCTGGATCCACAGGGATCTGTATTCCTCTGATAGCTCCAGTGGTCACAGGCTAATACACCTGCATTGGCTAAAATAGAGTTACTGGTGTTGAACAAGCACCAGTACAAGATAGCTCATGGTGTGTTCTGATCTTTTTGTTCCCTTTTCTCCAGCTTAATTCATCTTACCTGAAATAACATGTATTACATGGGCCAAAACAAGCCTTTGAACTTTAGACTCAAAATGTTTTCCAAATTTCAGCCTATAATATTTCACAAGCCTTCTGCAACCTCTTACATAAAGCAATACAAGAATCACCTGTGCTTATGGGTCTCTTACATTGATATGAATCAGCATTATAAAACACTGACATTGTAATCTCTGAAATGGACATAGCACACACAGACAACCACTCTGAAAGTCCTTGCTGCAAGTCCCAAAGTAACTGCTTGGTCCAAACCTTGAAATCTTTTATTGTTTTGTTTCCTGAATACATTTAACAAACTCAACATAGCTGTTTGTTACTTATGTCAGCAGCTTTTCTTCATGCCCATTTGTTACTAAACAGGACTGAAAGCAGGAGTATCAAATCATCTCGAGACAGCACTGGACTCTAAACCAGTGAAAATGGTGAATTTACTTCCCTACTCATTCTGAGATACAGTTTCCTCTGAGATGTTTTTCACATAGATTTCAGTAGCTTCCAACTGGTTAAGACAGTATATTCTCACATCTGCCCAGTCTCCAATTTTTAGATTGCAGTCATAGCATAGGTGTTACTACCACTAATATCCATAAGCAGTTAAGAAATCAAATCTTTATGGAAAAAGCCACAGGGATTAAAAGGAAGTGCTGTGCTTTGCAGAAAAACACTAGAGGAAGCTACAATCTTTAACAACTTTACCGTAGAAATTCTGAACCACTGTGTGGAAAACGCTTGATTTCGGTGCCATTCTGTAAACTAAGAGTCATTTCTACACCACTTATCAGCTGCAATACTTCCTCACTCTGACTTAGCAGGGCTTCATGAAGTAGCAGTTAAATACAGTGCCTCATAAGAGCTGAGGAAGATGCAGACCTGTGCATGCAAGTGGTTCCAGTTAAACTTCTTCCAGCTGTGTGACAGAAGAGGCACATTCTCTTCAACACAACAGTCAAGGCCGTGGCCAAGATGGCAACTTGTGAGGCAAGTCTTCAATTCTCACATCTACAACAGACATTATTTGCAGCCTTGGGCTAATTTTTCCATCCCTCATTCTGTGAAATGGGAAGACCAGCCCTTCCTTCCTGCCACTTCCACTCCCTTTTTGCATTGTGACACTGCACAGTTGAAGAAAACCCCCTACAGAAAAAAGTATCTCACTGAGGTAATGATATGCAGCTAGCATGTTACACTCCTTAGGATTCCCTTTTGTCTTGGTGCGTATGTACATCAAGTCAAGAGGGCCCTGAGAGAGCTTGCTTGGTCACCAGAAGCAACATAAGTGTATTAATACAGCATGAGAAGCTGAGATACCTCTTACTAATGCTATATTTTGCCATATTGATATGTATTAATACAGCATGAGAAGCTAAGATACCTCTTGCTAATACTATATTTTGCCATATGGATATATTGCTTGGAACACCATCAGTCTGCTGCCCATTATGGTTAGGGCAAATAATAATCCTACCACATTTAGTACAATATGTCTACGATTGCTACATCACCACTACTGGAAGGAAAATACAGTTTGGCTGGTGTACACAAAAGAGTCTTGAACCTGCAATGTCAGGCAGTTAGTGAGACACAACTGTACCTACAGTGTTGTTAAAAAGTGCACAGCAGGATTAGGCTAAAATGCATTTAAAAAAAAATCAGTAGTTGCAAGCAGGTTTTAGAGTCAATGTGCACACTAACAATTCCCCTGGTGCTTCTCTCTGCCTGCAAAGTCAGCATAACAATACACGTGGGAAAGTATTACTTCTACAAAGGAAAATCACCATCTTTTTTAGTTCTAATTCATTAAACATACACATAAAAAGAGAGTCCCATGAGAGACCAGGAAAGTCTATGTTACAATAGCTTAATTATTATTATTTTTATTATTTTAATTTATAACCAATTATAATAATGCTTATTATTATATTATTATTATTTTTAAAATGCACAAAAAGGGAGAAAAGTTTGATCCTGCAAAGTTAAAAGCATTCTACCCTTGAATTAACAAAGCATTTCTGTCTTTACTCTGTCTTTAAGTTCATGAATATTCCTCACGGAACTCAACTTAGAGATAAGTATATGCTTAAGTGCTGTGCTGGGTAAGAAACAGCAGTTTGAGCTCTGCAGAATCAAGGATTATGTTTAAATTTTCTGTGGCTGATTTTGTGCTAGTGCTTACCTGAATGTCTTCTTATTGTTTCATTCATTTCTGATACATTAGAAATGCATATTGTTATATTGAAGACTAAATATATGCTCCTATGTATCACAATTGCAGACTTCATGATAAAGGAGAAGAAGGCTTTTACAAGGCTTGGAACCACTCATTTCTTGACCTTATTTCTAGTATTATAAGCTGAAAACTTTTTGCCACTGACAGAATCAGTGCACATTCTCTGTATAATTTCAGTTTTCTAGCAAAAGACTTTTATAAAGGAGGAAAAATTATTGTTTCTAAACATTAGAGATAGTCAACTTGCATGCTAACTCCTTTTCCCACTTTCATTTTGGTTTGCACTAAACTGATGCTGAAGCTATATTGTGTCCACAAAACATCTAATTTCCATAGAAGTTACCCATGTCCTGGATAGGAATGTAAAAAGAAACTGAAATAAATGTTTTCCTCTGCACAGCAATGATAGAATCATATGGTTCTTTGATAGCTACACAGCTGAAGCACACTTTCATCTCAGAAGAAAGTATTCAGCAGCAAACAGAACTACCAATGATGGCATCCTAGCTACTTACTACTGCATAGAAAAATAAGCCAAATACAAGCAAAGAAAAATGCCACAACTGATAAACCAGTCACAGTTGATAAATCACATGAACAAAGATAAGCAAAGGCAACAGTAATCATTACTACTCTGACATCGCCCTTGTATTGTCTGTAAATACTCACTTTTAATACACAGTTTCTTTCTGAAGCTTTAAGTCTTCACTGATGGCTGAGGGAAGAAAAGCGAAAGGAGACTTAGAAATAACTCATGTTATTTTACCTTAATATTATATAAATATTCAGGCAGTAGGAAAGCTACCTTACAACCATGCTATCAGCCTCCCATACTTGAATTCCTTTATTGTTGCAGAGCATAGTAGGTTGTGTAATTTTGTTTGGTTGGGGTTTTTTATATATGTGGACTTATAAGAAACCTGCAACTAGTTAACTTATTTTATTAAAAAGGTTCTCAATGCCTGTAAGGAAAAGACTTACAAGAATGAAAAGAGTGAGAAAATACAATGCAAATCAGGTCAGTTTGAGCCTTGAGGTGCTTAATGCATGTGAAAAGAATATTTGCAAAGAAAACCAAATTTATATTCTAATTTTTCAGTGTTATGAGGAATGAAACAGGAATGCACTCAAAAAGTGCCCACTTTGTTAAAAATGCAAACTTGTCACACATTGCAAGTTGAATAAATTACTGAATGTGTGGCTGGTGCCACACACTGCTCTTATCCCCAGGATTTGAATAAAGACTCAGTCAAAGGCCCAGACCTTCACAAGTTGGCAAAAACGCCATGCAGAATTCCATAAACTACATGCACATACACTTAGAAGAGATGCCAAAGTCAACCTGCATGGATATCTGAAAACACTAAAGGTCTTAAAAAGTTAGTCTTTTTTACTATCATTATTCTAAAATGTTTTAATTCCCAAGCAAAATAGTTGTTTGATATCCTTGTAGCCTATTTTCCATGAGCCATTCTTGTAGAGTCAAAGATGCCTCATTCTTTGATGGGATTACAAATTTTGCTGATAAAGACAAAAGCGAAAATAGAATATACTCTGAATTCTGTAAGGTTTTTAAAGTTCTAAAGTATATAGTTAATGGATTAAATACTGACTAAATGATATAAGTGTTCAAAACAAAAAAAGAAATGTAAAAAGAAAAAACTGTTAGAGGTAATCATGACTCAACCAAAGTCAATTCCATTGACAACAGAGTATTTACACTCTGGAGGTAAATACCACATCTCTGCAAATACAACTAGCAGCAGACAAAATCAGACTGATAAACAATGAGGAGGAGAGGGTATTCATGGACGCAGATATTTTTTAAGCTGAATTTACACAAAAACCCTGTGAAATTGTGATGAACCCCAATTTAAAGTTATAAAGCTGTGAATGAAGACTGTAATCCACACCTACAGGGTAGGGAACCCAGCCTTGCACAACAGAAACTCTAAAATAAGTACCAAGTTCCAGTATGACCTTTGGTTGAATGAAAGAGAAGTCACAAGAGATCTGGAAGTCATTCTGCTCATCTCTGAAGCACTGCTGAGATCCATAACAAAATACTGCACATGCACTTCTTATATTTTAAGGACATTGAAAAATTTAGAAGGATGCACAGAAGAGGTTTAAGGAATCAAACTAAGGGACAAAGAATAGAATATTAAAAAGCTGCTTTAAATACACTTAGAAAAAAAAGAAAAAGAAAATATCTGTTATCATGGCTCTTAAATCTTGCAAAATAAGTCTAACAAGACCCAATGATAACAACAAAAGTGGGGTACATTGAAATTAGATAAAGCTTCTAATAGTAAGAATAATAAACTACTGAAATAAGAGAAGAAATGGCAAGCTCCCTATTCCTAATATTTTCAAATGATTGGATGCCTTTCTATTAACACTGTTTTTCTCAAACATGATGGTCACTAGTTCAAACATGGCCTGTATTCCCAGGAGGTTGGAAAATTGATCTAACTATAGACCCTGACATAAGAGGCGATTTCAGCAGTTCACAGCCAGCAATGTGAGGTTCCTTTTTTATGTCATGTCTACAACTGATCCTGTGGGCAGTTAGAAAAACTGCCACCTGAAATAGGGTTTGAACTAAACAAAAATCTTTTCTCTCCCCCTTCTCCTTAACTCTACTACCACAGAGTTTCTCTGTGTCCTCTCCAAACTATCTAGATCTACTCCCCACAACTTTGCTCAGACAACTCATCTGCTATTCTGAGACAATAAGTATACGTTAAGCTTCTTCAAAATGAGAATCACAGGTGAAGTTTATGAGGTATTTTTAAAAAATATTCATCATACTATTACAACATACTCTGGTTTATATTGCAAATGTGTCTCCTTACCCTCAATTTTCTTTAATCATAAACAAATGTAATTTTGCATATTTCTACCTGAATATTCCATTTTATGATAGCCAAGACCAAAACTGTCTTAAAACAGTAAATGATCACAGAATTCATATTGCTTTGCCTTAATTTTTTCCCCACAAATGCACATAAACAGAACTAATACCAGTATGAACTTGGATAACAGAACTTGACTTGAGAGCTTATTTTAGTGAAAGAAATGCTTCTTTTCAACACAGCGCTTGTGACAACTACTGTATAGGAAAAAAAGTTCAATTGTGTGATTGTGGCTATCATGTCTTAAATTTCTTTTCCCTCCTGGAGGCATCACAAGGTTAGGTAAATCCAGACAGAGAAATTATGTAGATGCAGAGAAACAGTAGCTAAGAAGTTTTCTGAAAATCTCACCCAAACTCAGATGAAACTGCCCAGGTATTAGACAAGACCATCTGTCTCAAAGTAGAGTTTACTTCCTGGCTGTTTTTCATCTCATACTTACTGAGATTCTGCACGCAGCAAATGCATTTCAGACTTCTCCCTGGAAGCACTGGAGAAGGCAGGTCACACCTAGAGCAAGTGAAAGTGCACTGCTAGTTGCAAGCATTAAAGTATTCCCCAGGGAGCAGCAGGGTACTATGTTCCCCCATTGCAGGGTGAGTCTTGCCATCTCTCTCTTGGAAAACGTCAGCAACGCAGCCCTTGCACTGAAAATAGCTCTCAGATTTCACTGATGTTTGCAATTCATTGCCAGGCAAGGATAAGAATGTTACATTGTCCAAACAGATTGGTTATTCTTTCATGCTGCTTACAGTAGTAAGCATAGCTAAAGCACACCAGCGCCAGTGGTGGAAAGCTGGTGTACTCAATACCTGTGAGGGAGGACAACCAAGCAGCCAGGCACCGTTATGTTTTGCATCTGTTTGGGAAAAGTCTTCAAGCGCATTTCCACATACAGTCAAATCCAGACCAGTCACAGGAGGGAGCAATCTTGGAGAACAGAGACAAACACTGTGAGAAATCAATTATAAATACGGTGCCAAAGAAGTGAAGGCATTATGGCTGACATTACACTTGACTTTTTGGTAGTATTCAAGAAGCCACAAGCATGGTGCACCCACATTCACCTCTCCAGAGCACCCTCAAGAGAGTTTGACTCTCCTGTGACACTGCTATGCTGGGCACCATTCCTCACCTGACCTTTTCTTCACTGATCTCTGGTCTGGTCATTGTCTTTCTTCTTATACTGCTATCCATTCCCATCTCCTTTTTGAACACCAGTTTCCAGACATGCAAGGGCCTTCTGGACATGTGCCTTTCTTCTTACACTCTTTGCTGTCTTCTTTACTGAAGCCTCATACTTTATTCTCTCTGCTCTTCTCAGAAATTTCTTCCCTCCTTGTGCATTCAAAGGGTTTTCACACTGCCTGATCTGAGTTCTTAAAAAGATAAAAAATAAGGATGAACAGTTATTTACAACTTTTTGTGTGTGTGTGACTGAAATCTAGACTAAACCACAGAGAAATGACACAAGTAACAGCATCTCCATTCAACAAAATGCCTGTTTATACTCATACACCAAGAAACACAAGATTTATTTGTAAAAAGCAGTACTTCCAAAGCATAATTCAGTGTTTTTTCTTAAGTTGTGTTTAATTTGATGTCTTTTATTCTAAGTTACTTTCCTGTCTTTTTTTAGATGTTACCATTATTTTACTATTATAAGGTAGTCCTCACTAGTCCTGCACTGGAGCAGCTGTACCCAGGGAGATGCTGGCCACCTCTCCCCTGCCGTACGGCCACCACTGTCACCAGGCCCACTCTGGGCTCACTAACCTGCCTCTGCTCTGCAGACATGCTATCCACGAGTGACTAGCCTGACCTCTATTTGGGGCAAAACAGTGACAGTGCTGCCTTGCACACAGGCTTTCCATCACATTTTCAGCTGCAGAGGCACAGTGTGTTTCCTCTCCTTCCTCCTGACTGCCCTGAGGCATCTATCACCAGCGACCAAGCAGCAAGCCACCCTTGTCTGGGAACTGCGCTCAGGAAGTTTGCAGTGTGAAATTAGAAATGGAGAAATAAATTGTGGAGGTATACCCTGCTCCCAGAGGCTAAACCCATTGCCACGGTGATCCCAGAGAAACACAACCCACATCTGAAAGGAGGAGGGAGAGCTGTGCTGTAGATTTTTACAGCCACTCAATATAACTCACCATGAGCAGCACATCCACTGGGCTGGAAAACAGGGGGAGGAAGGGGAAATCACATTCTTTTCTCAGGCCATTTTAGTTAATACCTGCTGTGACCATATGCTCGCTCGTAAAAACAATCTCTGCATGAAATATTAAAGTATTTCCATGCAAATCTCTAAGTTCTGCATTTATGGCACTCAATCTTTTTTGTTCATTCTATCACTCCTTCTTGAATAATTAACACCAGGTACAAAATATCTTTTACATTAATTCCTACTACCACTAAAAGAGCAGCTCCATCTGATGTCTACCACTTAGTACCAAGTGATGTACAAGGCTGATTTACCCTTTATATTCAAGTTTTTTACGTAAAGGGCAATATTTTTCCCATGGGGACAACTGAAACTTTCCACCTGAGCATGCTTTCAAGAGACTTGCCACCAGAGGACCAACTCCTGGAGAGAGATGGACATCAAAGCTGCCCTCAGCCCTCTCTCTGCTCTGTGGCATGGCTGGCCCCTGAGTCTTCAACTATTAGCACTTTCACACCTTTGTAGCTCTGCATATTCACCTCCAGGCATCTGCCTCCTCTCAGGCACCAGCAGCAAGCCCGCCTCAGCTTTCTGCACACCCCCAGTAGGGCATCAGGTCATGGCCCCAAGGCCAAGTGCTCCTCCGAGACCCTGCACCAACCCTTGGGACAGTTCATCAGCTTCTCCTGCTGCCTCTCCCAAGCATTTTCTGTCCTTTACCTTCCCTTTTTACCTTGGCAACTCCCCGAGGTTGTTGCCATGGAAATCCCCAATTACGATCCCTCCTCGGTCTCTTTGAGCCCCAGGAACCAGCCCCTGGAAGTTTCTTTCTTCTGCTAGCAGCAACCTCTCTTGTGCAGGGGGTTGTGTCCCCCCCTGCACAGCAGCTCTCTGGGTTCAAACTGCACCTTAGTCAGTCCCAGTACTGCTGCAAGACGAACCCCACTCCACATCACAATCTGTCACTGCACGCCATAACAAATAGCTCATATTTTTTGCTTACAGCATAGCTGAAATGTAGTTAAAAGTGTTGGATAATTCAGTTTAAAAAAAAAAAAAAAATCAGAAATGCTCTGGTTCTTCAGTTTGACAGGGCTCATCTAGTAATATTCAGAGTGCACTGCTTAATACAATAACTATGAATTAACTTAAAATGGTCATTTTACCACAATAAAGTAGAAAAGATTTCCAAAAGGAAAAGGAAATGCTAACCTACATATGCCATTGAAAATCTTCCCCATAAATCTTTACTTTGGTTTTGTACACATTTGATATTGCTGTTGGTGAATTTTGTAAAAAGTATTTGTACTAGAATCCAGTTAAAGAAGTTAATATGAAGGAATAAACCTATATTTTTCAGCAAAAGTACAAATAATATTTTTTCGTTTCTTGATTAAAATGTCATAGAATTTAAGAAAATCTTACTTTCACTGCAATGATGCTAATGCTATCTCTAAGTAGAATGATACATAATGCAATAGGAAAGACAATAAGAAGTGATCCATATGTTATCCACCACCATTCACTGACAGGTGCTTTTTTTTTAACCGATATAGTGTGTAATGGGCACAATAACTAGAATAACAAAAAGCCGTTTTCACTTCCAACACACTTTACAATAATGCTTTTGCAATTTAAGTACTATTCTTAATCCATTTTCACAGGCCTTTACCTTAATGCAACAAAATGAAAGTGACCCTAGGGACATTTTCTCCTCTCCACTACAGACAATACAGGCAAACTATGCAAACTCAAAACCATGAAGATTGCTGCTCTTAAATGGGACTGTCTCCATCAGAGCACAGAGACACTTTACAGACACTGAGGCATAACTGTGTATTTACTTTACCAGCAGTGTAATTTGCTACACTGTGATTCGTGCTGCAACTGTGGTTTATAAAATCATAGTACAATTATTTAATGCAGTTCAATTTGCAAAACCCTCTCTGGCAATTGGTTAATAATAACTGAGTCAATCTGAGCAAAGCACTCTCAATAATCACTGTGTTACCATTTTTTTCAATTACTTCTAAGTTAAGTGCAAATTTCTTACCTCTGAACAGCTCTACTTGAACTTACTTAATAATGATCACCTTTGCCAGTTACAAAAGCAACATGCTAACTTTTCTTTCTCTTACAGTGAAACATAGCAATTTCCAATGTGACATAATAATAAAGAAACCTAATAGGTATCCAAATGTGAGACACTGTCAAAAGGAAGTAGTTTTAAATTCTCTTCAAACAACTGCCATTGAAAAGCGGTGTTATAGTCAATTATGCAGAGCAACATACAGAAAAAACACACGTATGCTTTCTTTCAATTAAAATTACACATTTCAGTCATATACAAAGGCGATTTGTCAAGCTATTTCACTCACCATAGGAAAAAAAATGGAGAAAAAAAAGGAACACAGAAAAAAAAAAAGTAATAATTTCAGAAACAGTAATTTCAGAGGCATACATTTCAAATTTCATTTTATATAAACTTAATATGTGGTTATGTTTTCATAACTACTAAAAGCTGAAATAAAAACCATTTTATCTAAAAATTATATCTTTTCTCCAATCTCATTTTAGCAGAAAAAACAAAAAAGCTGTTTTAAAATGGACTCTTTTCAGGGTGCTTGCCACCTGGTATAGAAAAAAAAGTCTTATTCAAAAGCTGTGTTTAAAAGATATGTGTTTGTCATCTTCAAAGAAAACCTTAACACTTTTTTTTTTTGCTTTTCATATGACAGCCCTTTGAAAGGACTGAGGCAGAGCTCAAGAGTTTCACACTCCTATCTACTATCTCTATCTAGAAATAATTAAGTAATTATTGTGACCCAGTAGTTTCCTGGGAAACAGGAACTCATTTCGGAGCTTCGATTAAGAAAGCATGGAAGACAGACCTGCTGTTTATATCCCTATCTCTTTGAGGACTGGTATATATGTATAAATAAAACATATATACATTTTATATGTTTAAATTACCCTTACCCACCATACTTGCATCACTGCTTTCCCCTTGTCTGCAAAACTGAATTGCAAAGCCCTACATAGGCACCATGGCTTGGCAGAAAGGAGACAGGTACCAAAATCAGGATATGTATCAGAAGAATGGTTTGAAGTGTACAAGGCCAAGCCATTTCTGCTTTTGGGCGAAAACCAGCTTCCAAGTAGCCAATGAAACATTTTCCCCCAGACTTCAGAAGTAGGATCATGTGCTGGGGATGATGACGTTCTGGGGATTAAAAATGAAGAATGTACTTATCTCTGCTAGCAATCACAGTACAGGTGCCAATGAATGAATTAACAGGCACAGAGATTACGCTCCCCTGCTCAGCTTTTAAAAATCAATGTGCTAACAGTTGTTGTGGTTTAAACCCAGCCAGACAGCTCGTTCACTCACTTCCCCCCCTTCTTGCCCTCCCCCTACTCCCGGAGGGATGGAGAGGAGAA